ACACACACACACACACACACACACACACACACACACACACACACACACACACACACACACACACACACACACACACACACACACACACACAACAAAAAAAAAAAAATTAACACTGTAAAGACTGATATGAACTTTTATCAACATAACATATGGTCTTGGAAATCCTTCCTCTTATTACTTACTCTGGCCTGCTGGCATTTTCATCCAACTTCCTGCTGAAAAAATCTTCCTTCTGTTTGACCACTGATTCACTGAAATACGAATACCATCATAATGTTGTACACATTACCAAATAAGAATACAGCAAGCCACTGAAGCCTTTTCTATGTGCACATAAGTACTAACATCAAAACTGAATGAAAAGACTTATGAAATATCAATACAAACTATGATATAATAAAAATAAAATAATAATTTATAGTAATAATTTTTTGAGAATTGAATATGTAAACATTCATAGTCTTCCATATCTACTGATTTCAATGTGGATAGCAAAATTTGTATTACTTTATATGTAAGAAACAAGACAATTCTATTGGTGTTAAGTGCTCTACCCCTGTATGACAGTTCTGCCATTTCAAAGGTGGTGGTGTTTTTTTCCAAAAAAATTGGACATTTTTCCATGAAAGCTTCATGCACCTCTATCGCATTTTACCCACAGGGGACCTTTCCCAGCAAATAGGGCAGCTCATTTTAATCCCTCCCCCCACCCCTGGCTACAGGCCTGCAGTTTATATATATTAAAATGAGTGCAATATTTCACCTGTTTAACCAAGCTTCCATATCATCCTGCTGCTGAGACTGGTAACCCTGATTACTGCTGAGATTGTAACTCCCTGTCCTGGGCAAGTTAGACGAGGACCCACTGCGGCTCCCTCCTGACCCAGCAGGCAGGCTGCCAGTGCTGAAGTTACGGGGCATGGAGGGAACGTAATTCCTGGCTGAGGAAGTTGCTTCAGACCATGGCTTGCCCGAGGCCTCAGTCAGGATCTGATGTTAAAGGTGTAAGGTGATATCACAATTTAAAGGTCTTCATTTGAAATAAACGGTTAGAGGTTAACTTCACTTAGAGGTGGTGACTGACTAAAAAGCTTGCCATCTCATCTGCAAATAGACATTGAATACATTCCCCGTGGGGGAAGAATATGGTCAATAATTTGAAACAAAATATGTATCTAATTTATAAGTTACATTTTCACAGAATCTGCTCTTTCATAGAATCAAAATCTAATCAAAATACCACATATACAAACCTTATCTCTATACAATGCTGCACATTTGCTGTTATATTTTTCTTGTAAGCTCCAGTTTTCTTTGTAATCTGGCTGGGACTTGAAAAATTCTTTTGCCTTTCGATTTCCTCCAACTTTCATTTTTTCAAGCTCAATATCTTTCCATTTGTCCATAGTAACTGAGCGAACAAAACTGAAGCCAAAGAACAGGGCATCTTATATTGTTATACATACACAATATAAATCATTTTACAACTTACAACATCCAGAGAATGACTTCAAAGTTTATTTGTTTTACCAAAAGATGTGGGAGAAGCAGCCCACACATTAATCACACACACAGATATATATTCTGTATAATTTTTTAAAAATAACCTACCTGAGGTGGACTCCCAAGCCCCTGTGTTTTCCCGAGCATTCCAGACATATCCATATACCATACGTTACACTAACCCACTGGGGATTATTAGTTCCACATTCAAAGCAAAACTGAAAGTGAACAGGGATAAAGAGATTCATCATTCTATATTAACAGTTATCATTAATGTAATATATCTGTTATATGTCTGTTCAACAAATAATCCAGAGTAAGAAGTTTTTATCTAGTGCAATATGTTATAGCCTATATACAATCTTTCTCCATTCTTTAGTCATACATAGTCAGATACTGGGCACAGGACATGTAGCAAAGGTGTAGAACTATGAAGTTGTACTGTACAACAACACACAATAGCACAGAATAGGAAAACTACAACAAATTTAGATTATATAACTTCAGTACATGACCATATATGATTCTTTTGTTTAACATGAACTGTATTTAGTCCTATTTTAATAAAAATTTAAAATGTAAAATAAAATGAATTGAATGGAAAGGAGTTTATTACTTCAAGACAAGTGCTGTAATATTTATCATTTCTTCTATACCATATGGTTCAAAATATGAATTCCCGTCTTCCTCTTCTGATTTTTGAAAACTTTAGTTCTAAATTTTCAAAAATGATTTAGTCATTTGCCTCTGGGCCACAAAATATGACTTTCTTTTTTGGCCAGTTACTAGGATCTAAAATTCGCGATCAAACTGCTGTCTAAACTGTCATCATAAGCTGGAACTGAGATGACCGTTCCTATAACAAGATTCACATTGTGATCAGATAAGAAGTGACCACAGCATTGAGAGCACACACTATAGTGTCACTGGGGTGCCATAGTGCCAGAGGCTACGGGAGCATATGACAGCGAAGATCTATAACTTACGTTATTGTCAATTGTTTTGAGTTCTTTCAGCACTCTTCTCGTACGAGGACTTGCCATGACTGCGAAAGCCCTATATTCTTGTTCCTACGAATATGAATCTTTGATCTGGAATGATATATTCCAGTCAATTAATGCACTTTTGAGGTAAAATTCCGGCCCGTAAGTTGGTGAGTTGTCAGATGGGCCTCTCGAAGTAGAGCTCAACAGTTTTATGATAAAAGATTCGTAGAAATGCATGTCCATTTTATATTTCTCATTTGTACAAAATTAGCCATTTTTAAAAGTAAATCAATACACAGAATTTTTCTTGACAAATATTCTTAGTTGGAATGAAACAGAATTACAATAGGGATATAATTTATTCGAAACTAATAGACTATTAGGCATACCGAAAACATGTTGAGCGGCAGAGGTCCACTCTGCAGGTGAAAAGCAATGAAATAATTAGCGAGAAGGCTATTTTGCAAAGTCCAGACCATTTTTGATGTGATAGAAAACATAATTGCAAGCAATTATGAAGAAGGAAGGCAAGCGAGCAGATACACAGAGGCCGTATAAACTGGGTAATTGAAACATGAACTTAATGAATCTTGCACACCTAACTGCACTGAAACAGTTACTGCAGCATTTTAAAATTTGTCTTATAAACTATAATTATTCACACAGTATGCATGGATCAGGGCCTAAGAGGAACACATGCTTTCATAATTAAGCCCCATTAAGTACTTTGGCATTTCCACTCTTTTCACTGTCTTTCTGCCTTAGACCTGCTGTACACTTCTGTCCTTAGGAACAAATTTATTTGTCCCAAGACAAGTTTTGTACCTGACATGTGTTAGGTACTAATCTGTGGTAACTAAGTAACTAACATGTGCGGTTGAAAACTGAGGTAGTAGACAACAAAAGCCTGTAGATTTCCAAAGATCCGTTCACTCATCAATATGACCAAAGAGCAAGTCCGTTGAATACATCTACCTGCATTGAAATTTAGTATACTCGTATATAGTAGTACATGTAGCAGCATTAGAGCGCATTTAGAACAGTAGACTAACAGATCTGTGGCTCAGAAATGGCCAATCTACTTGAATGCTTGTTGCTTAATTCCCATGGGGAATCTGTTTAGTGTCTAATTAAGCAGCAAGCTTTTTAGTCAGTGGGTTGTCATATTTGATCTGTGGATCTGTAAGTCCACTGTTCTAAATGCACTCTTAATGTAAATTTAGTTACAACCAAGAATGAAAGTTCGACATCTTTGATATAACAGACAAGGTTATGAATTCTACTGGTATAGATGCTTTGAAATATTGACTTTATAGCACTGGCAAATATAGCTACAAATTTTGAATAGGGTATGTTTATTCATCAGCTTCAAGCAGATTGAAAACATAAATACTGTATTATACATATATACACACACACCAAGAAAAACTATTCTGAACAGATAAGTGTACCATCAGAGTGAGAAAGATTATATTACACATTATTCTACTGTTCTTACACAATAAACATTGCAGAGGATTTTTCAGAATTATTTTGCCATGATCAGAAATGCATTAATTTTCTTCGTTTCAGCTCATCAAGTTCTCTGTATAACAGGATTTAATTTCCGGCTGCAGTCGCTTATTGTAAGTATAACAGATTACATCAGTCTTAGTAAATATCTTGATTCTCCTTTCTGTAGTCGGAGAGTCATATAAGAATAAACATTTTCAAACTCTTACTTGTATAGCCATGTTGTTTTTAAATAGATGGCACATAAATTAATCCTTTAAACCATTTGATTAATACTTAATGTATGTTTGATAAAAGAATCTAATATATATATATTAGATTTTTGTCTATGTTTAATATTTCTAGGGTTATGTTGAATTGGTCATCTATCCTCTGAGGCAAGATCTTAGAAGAATCAAGATAAATTGCAAACAAGGAAATATCCTGCCAGTCAGCTGATAAATATTTATGCTAGGTGGTTAAGGATAACCTTCAAAGCATAGTCATAATTAAATAAATATGTGACTAAAAAATGATATATAGCAGTCATTTTTCTCTCTTTGATGAATTATTCACCTTAACCATGTTCAAGGATATACAGAGTATGTTTTCAAGACCAGTGGGAAGCCCCATTCCTGTACAATGATCCTACACTGGAAATCTGCCAGGGGGATGTCAAACAGTAGGTTTTCTTGTTCTCAATGCATTGGTGTACAGCTGCTTTCATCTTGAAGCATGGACTTTTTGGCAAATACTAGTTGTGCTTTAATAAGAAATGAATTTGTGTAATTATTAATAACTTAAAAAAGATAACAATGATATGGGATTTGAATGATATCATTGGTTAGAAACATTTTTTATCCCAAAGTATGATGATCTACAAAGATTCAATGATGCGTTTTCTGACCTTGCATTTTTAGTCTGATATTGTGGGATTGTTTTAAATTTAATTTTTCTTTTGTCCAGGAGAAACTTAGACTTTTTTGAGAGTTGCCATGCCTCGGCTACTGCAGCAGTGGATCCGGACTGTGCCAATGGAGAGGTTACAATCAGGGTGCCTTTTGAGGCATTCCCACTGGTATCAGGTAGGTAATAGGTCACTATATTTAAAACATGTTTATCTTCCTTAATTTAAAAATTAACAAAACTGAGAGTGAAGAATAAACTGTTTTGTTTTCCTTTTTCAGGAAAAATAGGATAAAAAAATAAGCGTGCCACTCATTATGGCCCATTCAGGGACTTTTTCTTCTCTTTTTGTTTCATTCTTAAAATATGTGAATCAATTTTATATAAATTAATTGTAGGATTTGATATAAAGATCAGCATTCCTTCTTAAAATTTCACAGTTTTTATTAAAAACATTACAAAAGAACATTTGCACACCATATTTGTTGGTTGATACTATTACAAACATCTTGTTTTCATCCTTTGTAGAATTGAAGCCATTGCGAGTCAGTATAGAGTTTTCCTTGGAGACCCCCCTAGGTGGCATTAAGTTTGTAGTCCCTGAGACAGACAGCAATCAGTCTATGGCAGATAGAGGGGCACATCTGTTCACATATGGCTGTGAGGACTCCTCAAGGTAGTGTATTTAGAGATGGAAATCTGCTGTATTATCTGGCAATCCAGTTATTTGGAAGTTGTATTTATCCCTCCCCCACCCCCATATAGTGCTGTTTGTCTTCAGTCTTTGTATTTGCAGGATTTTTTGAAAGGTGGACTTTCATATCTGTGTAATGTACACTCTTTGCCCTGTATATTTATTTCACATGAAAACAATTACTTTTAAGTATCTTAGTGGTGGTGAGATGTTCATTGTTGACTCTAATGGAAGCCTCATTTAGGTCAATTTTGCACTGAATCTACTTAAGGGCATGAAACAAGTCACCAATCACATAAATTCACCACAGATTCAGAAGTCCTAGTTCCATTTGGTGTTGTTTTGATTTTTATCTTCTGTATTAAAATGTCCATGCTTTATTATTACAGTCACATCTTATTTCTGTAAAAGTCTGATATCACTGCTCTAAAATCGCTGATTGAAATCCCCATATTATTACTGTAATATCTTCACATTTTGGGATAACAGGGCACCTTATTGTTTTGCCAGGTTATGGTTCCCATGCATTGACAGTTACTCAGAACCATGTACCTGGAAGCTGGAGTTCACTGTGGATGTCAACATGACTGCAGTATCATGTGGGGATCTGGTGGAAACTGTATACACACCAGACATGAAGAAGAAAACATTCCATTATTTCCTCTCCACACCTACTGCAGCACCAAATATTGCTCTGGCTGTAGGGTGAGTGAATTATACTCTCTACTGAGATAATTTATCTGTTTTTTTTATAAAGAATAGTACATTGCCAATATTACTTGAGTAAGCTACATTTTATTTGCTATAGATGTATTATTTTTACACTGTCTACAAAATATTACCCATGTATAGGTTAGAAAAATCAGCAAAAACCGAACATATAATTTTGTGGTTGATTCTACTTCAAACCCCCTGAAGAATTTAACTAATCTATCATTTTTTTATTGAAAATGCCATTTTGAGTCAGCTTGATGAAGATGGCATTTGAAACAAAATTATACAATATTTATTTAAGGTTATAAAATAAGATAAAATAATTATACAGTAATTCAATTTTTCAGACCATTTGAAATTCTGATGGACCCCAACATGCATGAAGTGACCCACTTCTGTCTGCCACATCTTATGCCAATTCTCAAACATTCTACAGCTTATCTACATGAGGTAATGTAGGACTAATAGGCAGTGAAGATTTAACAAACAGTTAAAGTATCATATCTGATTTTTTTTAACATTAAGTTTTTCTTGAGAAAAAAAAACAGTTTTCTCTAACTCAAGAATCATTGCTAGACTGGTCCCTACACTTGTCCCTATTTAATGTTTTATACCAATATTATTATTTCATTCTAAGTGTCTGAAATAACTTTGCAGGATATGTACTGGGTAGACATAGAAAATATGACTTTGGGACATTTTCATAGGTATACTTTATATCTTTAAGGCATATTTCATATATTCCAGGCATTTGAATTCTATGAAGAACTGATGTCAATCAGGTACCCATACTCGTGCTACAAGCAGGTGTTTGTGGACCAGGCCTATGCTGAGGCTTCTCCCTATGCTACTTTGACAATATTCAGGTGAGATAAAAGATATACTGTCATGTACATGGACTTTATAACACATACATTTGATGTAAAGAGTAAGAGAAGCTGTAATACCAAAAATCCTGTGCATTGGTACATCTTTGTTAAAACTTTATTCATAAATATTTCACATGCTCTTGATTTCTTTTGATTAAACAGCTTGGATAAAATTTAGCTAATAGTAGAATGACAGCCATGACTAAGTGTATTTANTTAAGGCATATTTCATATATTCCAGGCATTTGAATTCTATGAAGAACTGATGTCAATCAGGTACCCATACTCGTGCTACAAGCAGGTGTTTGTGGACCAGGCCTATGCTGAGGCTTCTCCCTATGCTACTTTGACAATATTCAGGTGAGATAAAAGATATACTGTCATGTACATGGACTTTATAACACATACATTTGATGTAAAGAGTAAGAGAAGCTGTAATACCAAAAATCCTGTGCATTGGTACATCTTTGTTAAAACTTTATTCATAAATATTTCACATGCTCTTGATTTCTTTTGATTAAACAGCTTGGATAAAATTTAGCTAATAGTAGAATGACAGCCATGACTAAGTGTATTTATTGTGTCACTATTTCTTTTGTGTTTTGATATATATATATATATATATATATATATATATATATATATATATGCTTGTACTATTTCCAGCACCAACCTCCTCCACTCAGCCAGAATCATTGACCAGACTCCAGTGTCTAGAACACTCATGGCAGGCGCCATTGCTCAGCAGTTTTTTGGCTGTTTTATAGCCATGGAATCTTGGTAAGTCATTCTGACAAAAAATTGCAACGCAGTATATTTGATAGCATGATAAAATACCAAAGACAGGTGTCTGTAGAGATGCACATTTTTGCCATGTTTTAGTGTTTATGTATTAGTGAAATAAGTACAAATATTTTGACAATTTAGGAAATTTTGTGATTGTTTAGCATGATTGGTAATTAAGGCCAAATTATTCTTTATTTATATTTAATGATATTAATTAATTTTCAGTTGGGCTGAATTTGAATCAACGATATGGCAAGTTTTTGCAGGGATTCTATCTGATCAACATCCAATTTGTTTTTCAGGTATGATGAGTGGTTACCAAAAGGAATAGCTGGCTACTTGACTAGTCTTTACATCAAGAAAGCATTTGGAAACAATGAGTACAGGCATTACATAGCAAAGGTAAATCAAAAACATTCATTAACTTAACATGCACATTGGGGCTGTTACCGTTGTGAAACATGTATCTGAAATTGTCGTAATTTTATGTCACTACAATATATTTTATTGTTTATTCATGTGTCTTGCTTTAAGGTATATTGAATTGTACATTGACTTAATACTTTTAAGTCTATTAAAATAGAACAAGTTTATAGTATGTTGTTCCAAGCATGTGATTGCTTGTAGCACAGCCTTTAATGTCACATCAAACACAATGTTACATGACACTCACACTCCACATAATCATCTATGCACTTAGATTGTTTCTGTCACGTGGTGGGTGCTTGCACATGTCATAGTTTCGTAACCATAAAAAGGCAAATAAATGGTTCACAAAATACTGTAACACCACCACCATAAATCTGATCACAGTGATTCACTGAACAAAATGACACTGTGTGTGGCAAAATTATTTTTAACAATCAAGATAAAAAATCAAAGCATTAACAACTGCATGTTGATGGATGGGTTGTTAATGGGAACAATCACACAGACTTTACCACTGCTGAGATTAGTAACGTTTTCATACATCAGCTCAATCTTATTGTCAGAATGATCAATATGACATAAAAGCAATTAGATAAAGTGCATTTCCCTTATAATTGAGACTACAAAAGGTGGCAGAGCTATGCTGCTGTTAAAACATGTCACACAGTTATGCATGGTGGTGTATATTTGACTGTCACAGCATGGGTTTGTCCCCATTGCATGCAGGGAAACAATTACTGGTACGTGAGACCTGGGACCACCATTTGTGAGACCACCTATACTGTGTTAAATGTGGTGGGTTTTTACAGTGATCTTGCACCTGAATATGACTTTGAGAATTAAAGAAATAATTTAAGTTATCAAAGATATTTACTGCATTATGGAAAATCCTGTTGCTAGTTTCATTAGTACGTAAGCTTATAAATGTTGCTAGGGTTAATTTGTCCTTTGCAGCCCAAAGTGTATTTTAGGTTCTGATTGAGAGTATGTTTTTAACCTTAGTGGAAGTTTGATTGTATTTTTGTATGGCAGAAATGTTTTGACTTCAATTATTTTTGATGCGCAAACTCAACAAAACAACTGTTTAACTAACTGTGCCATAGACAAAACTTTTTTAATCATCTAGCCTTGAATGAGACATATTCAAGGTTATAATCTGTACTAGTATGTGATCAGATTCCTAAAGCATGAAAAATGTTTGAAAAGAAAGATTGTCAAAGAATACTTATTTTAGAAGTATAACAGTGAAATAACACCAGCTTTTCTCATACAAAATAGAACATTATGTTATTCATACACTAATTGCACATTATCAATTAATATTAATAACTGATTTCAGTTATATATATTTAATTCTGAAGTTTAAGATGTTTCCCTCTTTTTTGTCTGAAAGTCCACACTTGAAGCTTTATGTTTTCAGGAGCTGAAGTGTGTTCAGGAGTATGAGCAGCAGGTGGCAGGGATTGTCTTGGATCCTTCAGCTCAGGAAAACAGCACAGCTAAGTTATATTTCCCTGTGAACCACCCCCACACAGTGTCCCCGCGGTACCAGGCAATGTTTGAGAGGAAAGCCATGCTGGTTATACGCATGCTGGAAATTAGAATAGGAAGAGAACTGCTCTTACAGGTGAACACTTATACATTTAGATATCTAACATACAGACTGATATTAAAACCTCAAAGAATTTTATTAAAAGAAATTGATCTCTCATAAGAAATTGCTCTCTTCATTCTGCCATTTTCTTTTCAAAGAGCCCTTCTTGTTTGACAAATTCCATTGCTTACCTTGCTCAGAGTTTTTATGGGATGTGAAAATGCATGTAACAATAAGTTGCTTAACTGAAAGAAGGTGTCATTGGAGTGTATAATTGTTGAGTATTTTAATGAGTTTAGAGCAGGATAATGTTGGTAAGGAAATTGGTTTGAAAATTATGGGTGATGCCAAGAAGATTTGTTATTCTGTTTTTCTTCTGATATTCATTTGTCATCTAAATATTGGATCAATTAAATCAAACTTACAATTTTCAAGAATTTGCATATATTGGCCTTTTTAATATCTGCTGTTATTAAAACTAGCTTTAATACTTAAACATTTTAGACTGTTTTAATCCTACCACTGTGAGTAAATCTTAAATTTTCATTATGATTTGTTTAAAGACTTGATTTTTTATATTAATCGAATGTTTTATTTGCAGACTCTGAACAAGTTGCTGTCATTGGCCATTCAAGCCTCTCAACAAAAGTTTCAACCCAATTTTAACATCTGGGGAAATATGTTACTTTCAATGACTTCTGTAAGTCTTTACTTTCAGTATAAATGTCAATAACCTTCATATTCAGATGTTCGGCATACATTAACATCAAGCATGTTTAAAGTATGAAAAGTTCGAACTAGTTTTTAAAAGTGAATATTATGTATAAAAAATTGGTATAGCATGGTAATATATGACTGTATTATCCTAAATGTTTAGCAGTAAAACGAAGTTTTGTATTTTTATAGTCACTAATTAATGTTTCAGTTCTTGAAAATCAAGTCTACAGTAACTGGAAAAGATATCAATGTCTTTTTGGATCAGTGGGTGTATCCTTTCAGAAGGAAATTGAGTGAAGTACAGTGAACTGTAATGAAATATAACACACTTTTCTTTATGTTTGTTGATGGTTTCTCTTATCTTGAGTGAATAACTTTTAGTGATTAAGTGGATGAAAAAATACTGTTGTACTCAAAAATGACACACAATATATATATTTTATTGATAAATTTCCAGAATATCTAAAAATGTTATCAGTTATAAACTGTGAAAGAGACCTTAACTCTTAGCAGACGTCAGAGTGGCTGTGCAAGATTCTTTGGCAATTTTGTATTTAATCGTAAAAGAAATGTTGTTGAGTTAGAGCTGAAACAGGATATGAATGCAAAGGGGGCTATGAAGTATGTGGTAAGTATTCTTTTTAAATTACAAAATTATAAATTGACAGTGTGGTAACATATGGCCTGTGATAACAAACATAAAGCAGTGTGCATTATAGTGCTTGTGTACTTATTCATCATAACAAGTTTTGTGGGCAGGATTTAAAGAAAAGGGTTTATTTTTAAAGCCAGCATGTTTTTGACCTGCTTTGTTGAGGTAAACTGCTGTGAGTATTTATCTTGTCATTGCTGGGGTAGGGTGACATGTCGGTTGTCATGATGGGGATCTGATTACTTACTGCTATTATATTCAGTTCTTAGTAGAAGAAGTATTTATTTTTAACCAAGCAGTTTGGAAATGTGAAACTCGTCATGAACAGACCAATATATAATTGTTTCAATAAATGTATTGTCCTTAACTTGTCCAAGATTTATTGAGGGTGTTTATGTTGTTATGACGTAGGTGGTGGAATCAGTTGCTGTGGTGGGTGATTTATTTCTTGACTTCTATTCTAGGGCCCACTGACCATGACCATACAGGAGTTGGATGGATCCTTTAACCACACATTCAAAATAGAGGAAAACAAAACTAAGTTTGAGATAACTTGCCATTCAAAGAGCAGGAGGTGTGTAGGCTTGGTTCACCAGGAATGACTCTCTAATCAAATATCTTTGTATTTGCATATACTTAGGAATTATAACGTGTCTATTCAGGCCATAATTGGTTAGGTTTACTCTTTTTATTCTGGGTAGCTAGGTAGTCATTTGGGAGTAACTTAAAATATTTCTCTTCTCAAAGTATTTCTCAATGCTAAGACAGTCAAGTTGATAAGTCATCACCAAGAAGATATGAGGTTAAAAGACCTTGGGGAGGGGGGGGGGGCTGTCTAACCCATGTTTTAGTGAGTAAAAAAGTCTAAAAAGCACAGTGACCAAGCTTTGTTTTACTACACAAACTTTGCAGAAAATACTATGATGTGCGGAAGAAAAGGAGTTACTTTGAGTGAGGATGTTTATTTTATAAACTACGAATTCATGAAAACAATTGTCTTATTGTTTGTTTAAATAACATGCTTATTGTTACTTGTTCTATGTAAATGCTACCAATTATTTAGGGAGTTCTGATTTCACTTTTCCTGTTTGACAATTACTTAGTATGCAATTAGTTTTTTAAGGAAACATTGTTGATAGTACTTGAGTTGGTATATAATGAATATGGGAAATATATTTTTTAAATGAGAATTTAACACAATTCATAATTATCCCAGTTGATTGCTACAGGCAATTTTTTAAAATTATGAAAAAATTCAGCCAATGTGCTAGCATGTTAATAAATTAATTAACTAATTAATAATGACACTGCTTGACTTAAAGAGTTATAGAGAAGTGATACCTTGTATATCTTCCAGCCAAAACCCATATAGAGTTGTAAATTTGAAAAAAGATATAGTACATTTACCATAATTTAAGTAGCATCTAAATGTCTCAGACTTGTTATATATGAAGGATTTGGTGACTTACTGAAAACCCTGGCAGTAATGATCATTTAAAAAGACGTACCAAATTTGATTTTTAATTTACTGCATTTATTTAGTCACTTATAATTTTAATTACACTGTTTGGATGTTCCTTTGAATTTTTACTAACTAGAGAGTATGCTGAACATTTTGTACAGATACCAGATTCTGTATTAATGTTATTGTCATAATAATATTTTTAAGTTGGTTATTCTACATTATTTTGATAGGAACAAGAAAAAGAAGATTCCTCTCATGACTGGGGAAGAGGTTGACATGGACCTTAGTGCAATGGAGTAAGGAGTAATTTCAGTTTTTGAAGCCATATAAAGTTAGATATTTTAAGAATTAATCAATATTATCATAATTTTATAAGAAGGTAGAAGGTTATTTTTAATGTTGGACTGACATATTTTGCTTATAATTTCTTGACATTACATCCAACTAGGTAGACATTTTGTCAGTGCTATGTAGAGAGATAAGAGACTAGAAATTGTCTCATTGTTTTCTAGTGTCCACATCCCTCTGTTATGGCTATGAAGATATTGTAATATGTATAGTTCAAGTATTATGTTATGTGTCTCACTGTTCTCCAGTGCTGACTCCCCTGTGTTATGGTTATGAAGATACTGTAATATATGTACAAGTATTGTTTTATGTGTCTCACTGTTCTCTTGTGTCCACATCCCTCTGTTATGGCTATGAAGATATTGTAATATGTATAGTTCAGGTATTGTTTTATGTGTCTCACTGTTCTCCAGTGCTGACTCCCCTGTGTTATGGTTGAGGGTGGATGCAGACATGACAATCCTGAGGCAGGTGACCTGGGAGCAGCCAGACTTCATGTGGCAGTACCAGCTCAGATATGAAAGAGATGTGGTAGCACAGCTTGAGGTAGAAATCTGGCTAATACTGATTTTTAACATACACAAAATTGGGTATTCTTTTCTTGACTAAAGGAGAGAAATGTGGTTAGTGTACATTGTTTGAGATACAGCAGTCTTCTTAGTAAGCAGTTTAAAACCCAAAGTATGTTGATGGCAAAAGTGATAATAATAAATGAAATAATAATAAGAAAAAGTGAATAAATGAATTTATATAATGCCTAATAAAGAATTTGCTTACCAAATTCTTCTCCTACATCTTTTCCATATCAGGCGATTGAAGCACTTGAAAAATTTCCTACTCCTGCCACTAGGATGTCCCTGACGGATACCATTGAAAATGAACAGTGTTTCTACAGAGTGCGAATGGAGGCTGCTATGTGCCTGGCAAGGGTGAGAAGGTCTTTTACCAAAGCATCATCATTTGACTTAAATCCCTGCATGGAAAAGGAGTAGATTATCTGCTGTGTTGGTTCTTGTAACTTGAAATATGTTAAGTTGATTAGGGAGGATATTGTAATTTTTTTATTACAAACTTGAAAATTGATTACAAAGTTGACTTCTGCCGTCTTCTAATTCTGTGACTTCATGACCTATGTTCCAGGTTGCTAATGCCATGGTGGCCAACTGGGCGGGGCCTCCAGCCATGATGACCATATTCAGGAAGATGTTTGGCTCCCACACCTGCCCATCCATAGTTAAACAAAATAACTTTTCCAATTTTCAACATTATTACCTACAGAAGGTCAGTGTTTTAGTTTCTCACTGGCGTATCTGCATGAATTTCGAAACTTATCTTAGTGTTATATTCGAAATTTATCTTAGTGTTATATTGTGTAGTAAATATATATTGTGTAGTAAATATATATTGTGTAGAGGTAAATATATATTGTGTATTGAAATGAATGTTTTATTGGCCTTTCAGACCATCCCAGTTGCCATGTCCAACCTGAGAAATGTGCACAATATTTGCCCCCCTGATGTCATCAGATTTCTTCTGGACTTGTTTAAATATAATGACAACAGGAAAAACAAGGTCAGTATCTATGGAAGTATAATATGTAGAGCTATTTTTTCAAAACAAGCATTATGTAATGTGTTAGATTTTGGATTATTAATGCATATTAAAGATGGCAGTTAATTAACAATTAGCTTAATAAAATTTTAACATGCAGTTTTGCTTTAGTTGTGATATTCTGATATTTAATACATATTTCTGTATTTGTTTTAAAGTATTCTGATAATTACTACCGAGCCACTCTTGTGGATGCCATAGCCAATACAGTAACCCCAGCAGTGACCACTTTTACTGGACCTGGGTAAGCATACAGCTGTACTAATAGAGATATTCATTGTTCAGAATGGGTTAGGTACATGTGTTACCTTAAAGTACTTACTGTAGCGTTCTCGTGAACCCATCATATAAGCTGGATCGATCTTACTTTGCAAGGATTCTTGCTAAATCGCGGCTTAAATGTCTGGCATGCCTGCTCAAGCTGCAACGGGGTAATGAACGATAGTTACATGAGGGGGCTTGCCACACAATTAAGCTGATTACACTGAAAGCACTTTAGCAAGAAGACTAGCAGAGTTAGATCGATCCGGCTAGCACAATGGTTATATGGGAACGCAGTTTAAGTAGATGAGTCGCAGCTAGAAATTAACATAAAACCTATTATAATAAGGATTTGCTTATCTGTGTATTCACTTTTATGGCTTAAATGCATTAGTGACTATTACATTTCAGGTTAGGGCCCACTGCATCTTCTCTCACTCCTGATATGAAGCTTGTATTGGAGGAAATCACAAGATTCATCAACTTAGAAAAGCTGCTGCCCTGTTACAGATATACAGTTACTGTGAGGTAGGAGATTATTTCAGAGCAGACATAACTTTCTCCATCTTATTTTTAATTTCAGTGAAATACTGCATTATTCTTTCTAAATGTTTGTTTTCTTTTTTTGTATAACTTTTAAAAAACTTTTCTTCCAGCTGTCTCCGAGCCATCCGCAAGCTCCAAAGAATGGGCCACATACCCAGTGATGCGGCACTGTTCAGAAGTTATTCACAATTTGGGAACTTTGTTGATGTTCGCCTGGCTGCTTTTGAAGCTTTAGTGGATTACACTAAAGGTAAACTATGGAGTGTCACTGGTTTCCTGTTAACATTTCCAAATGATGAGACTAACAATTTTGAAATGCACAAAAATTTAGCATATAATAGTCAGTTTCCCCTGCAAGCTTATACTTTGTGTTCTGTTACTGACAGTATTCTACCATTAATGATAATAACAGCCTTTAACAATTCAGAACGGAGTTAACTATATTTTTTTGCTCATAGTTGAAGCTGATCCAGATGAACTGAATAACCTTTTAGATACAGTTGAAGACGACCTTGATCCATACATCAAGTAAGACATTTTGTGGCAACAAAGACAACTCTTAAACAGAAGTGATATTTTATTATTTCAGTCAATGGTTTAATCATTATAAAACATTTCAGAATTATTTATAACTTTGAGAGAAGTTTCTGATACTGCTGTAGAATTATTTTCATGAAAGTAAGAATTATAAATCCTTATATGGCACGTTCCATAAAAATCTCAAAATAACTTACAAAACAATTTCAAACTTTGCAGTGCATGCACTCTACAAGACAACAAGATTAAAAAGACTGGTAATTTAGATAATACTAAAAAAACATATTTAAGTGAGAAAGATGAGAAATTGTGAACAATCAACACTCCTACTTTGTAAAATTGCTAAAAAATATGGATGTCAAATTAAGAATTTTATTTCTAGTTCTTTAAAACTTGAGCATTGCTTTCAGGCATGGTGTGTTGAAGCTGCTGCTGACCAACCCTCCATTCACTAAGCAGGACAACAAGAGTAGTATGGGAACTGAGATGCTGGTGGAACGCCTATGGAGAATGATGAAGTATGGCGTCATAATTTATTCATAAATATGATATTGCAATGTAATATGCCAATAACAGTTGGTTGAATTTTGAGATGGAGAAGGAAACTAGTACAGCTGTTTGTGATGATTTTAAATATGATATTAAAACAATGTATAATTTAAAATTTACTGAACATTTGTCAGGTAGAGACAGCTGAAGCAATTTTTTCAAATATCAGTGGAATTCTACCTGTCAGTGTTCATCTTCTTCAGAAAATAATAAATCATCTAATGGAAAACCATGTCAACCATAAAGTTTCTTTACTCTTAATACAGCCAATGTGTTTTTAACACTGATTTTTAAAATTCCTTACAATTTTAATAAATCTACTGGTTTGAACAAATGATGTTAATGTTCAGTGAACTAACCTCATGAAGGTAAAGACAGAGCTACATGTTCACGTTGTTTTTGTGTCTCATTTTTAGCTCCGGGACATCCAATGACGCCAGACTGCGATGTGGTATAGCTGACCTGTATTTCACTTTTTATGGTCGCACAAGGCCGTCATGTTTGCCAATTCCAGAGGTACTGTGGCGGAAGTCGTGTTCAAGTCATGTCTGAAAATGGATGAAAAACAAAATGTTTTTGTTAAGTCTATACTCCCTCAAGTTTCAACTGACCTTGAAGCTGTTTGCCAGACATGTTGATCTTTGTAGTGTCTAGTAATATGCCACTCATTTTGTATAAAGAATTTTACGTTTTCCATGGCCATATCATGATTTGAACACTCAGGGCAATAGGTTTAATTTTTTTTATCAAAAAAGGAGTACAGATAAGTGCTTTTACTATGGAAATGTGCACAGAGAAAATGTCATACAGAATCATACAATTTATTTGATGTCACAATTATTGTAGAGAAATGGCTGTATGAGTATTATGAAAGGGGTTAAATTTTAATTATTAAGTGACACTTGATGTTATTGCTGTGATCTTCAACTTCTATCCTTTAAATATATCTCCTTAATTTCAGTCCGTAATAGTGCTAAATTTGAAGGAAAAAAGAACCATGGTCCATCCGTCTTTATCTTTGTCAGAGATAGGCCAAGAAGAGGTAAAGAGTCATAACCCAGTCACCATACACTGATTAGTGATAATAAGTTAGTCATATCAGGTGCTCTTAACTCTGTCACAGTAATTGTAATCCACTCACTTAGTATGGTACCTACAGCCTGTGATATAAGCACTGGGCCTATGTCTAGAACCAGTCAAATTTTAGTCTGTAGATTTTTTTAAATTTAAAATTGTTCAGTTAATGGCAACTGTTTCTGCTTTGGGCTGACAGATATTTCTTTATCGTTTGAATGGCCAGTAGCCTGAGAAGATTTTGGTATAGACTGTATTTAATGGATTTGAAAAATTGCAACTGTTCCTCCACTGGTCTATCAGCTACCTGGTTCCAGAAAACCACATCAGGGGTAAAAGTACTAATATTGAGGAAAGTGGTAAATGCCATATCATATAATTTTGCGGGGGTTTTATTCCTGCAGGAGACCATTCATGAAGAAGAAGACAGCATATTATGGACTCCAATAAAAACAGACTTTGACACACCATCTTTCCCTGCTAGTAGTAGTAGCAGCACAGTAGAAAGTAAAAAACGAAAAGCTGATTCTCCCTTGATATTTGATGACATCAAGAAAGAGTCGAGTGCAGAGCCTAACATCAAGGCAGAAGTGGAGGAAAATCCTTGTAAGCTGAAGATAAGGGTAAGTTACTTTTAATTGTTTTTTATATTTTTTCATTCTATGTGGAATGGTAAATTATATCTGGAGTTGTTCCCACATAGTTTTCTAATTTTCTTTATCATTTATTTATAAAAAAAAAAAAAAAAAAAAAAATTGGGAGATAAAAGATAGGTAATTATTTGTTAATTTACTATGGAAGAACTGCATTTCATTTATAAACATATAAACAGCATGTATGCCTGTTTGCTTGATCAAAACATCTTTGCTGTGCATGGATATTTTTGCTGTGCATGATATTTCAAGTCCCATCACTAACCGGTGATCTTATGCATGTGAACTTTAATCATAATTATTGTAACTATTTCAAAATACAATTAAACCCTTTCAATTAATATTGTGTTGTATATTCAGATGTATTCCATCCATTTTGATGTCAAAATAAATTGAAGAAGAAGTGCAGCCCAAATAAATGGGATGAATAAATTTTTGAAAAAAAA